TGGGCCGGTATCCACAACATTAAGAAATAAACCACTTACGTAGATTAACCAGAATGGCTTTTTACCCCGCCTTTGAAAAAAAAAAAGTTTTTTTTGTAAGTTATCAAAACCACATAACATTTTCTTGTGAAAACTAGCATCAACCAAAAGGTCCCGAAGGCCATCTTTCATGGGAAACTTGTCACATTTAAATAATTGCAAGCAAGAGATTAGTTGCGAAGTCAGACAATAAAATACTAGGCCACGCTCTAAATGGGCAAACATTTGGTCTAAATGCGCGCACACAACCAGACATGGCCAATAAAATAAAGTAACCACGACTCCTATTCTTAGCTTTTAACACAAACCTATTGTGGGGTGCAATAGGTAGAGCGGCTTTCAGTAGGCCATTTATTCCAACGAGGCTTCTTCTTCTTCTCATGGTTTGACAAAATCGGTGGAAATGTGTGCGGGGTTGTGAAAACTGCCAGCGTTTGAATTCTAAAACCCATGCTTCAGGATTCTTCTATTCCACTTAATTTGCGATGATCTTGCACCAATATTCATAAAAATTAGGTTCTTTAAAGAAAACTATTTTAATCTGGCAAGTAAGTCCAAATGTGTCGAAGGCTCATTTGTCTTTTAAGCATTTAAAGCGCAGACCTGAAATTTTGGTACTTCACTCATTTTGATAGTCTAATACATGGCAAAAGTCTTTAATCTTACCGATGACAGGCGAATGAATAGAGCTTAAATAGTAGCATGCCTTTACGACTGTGACTTGGGCGTGAATCATTTTTAATGGGAGCTTTAATGTGCAAATTTAGAAACCCGCGAACCCCTTTGACTCCGTGGTAAGTGATTCTGCGCGTCTTTTCAAGTTGTCTGAAAACATTTTGCCAAAGGACCTAGTCGTAATCTAAAGCCCATAAGTAGGGGGCACTTACTTTGTCATAACCGGACTGTCCCGTCACTCTGGGATTTGTTCAAACCTTCTGGCTTAACGAAAAAGATGGAAATTTGTTATAAGGATAGCAGTTTGCAAATAATCAATCTGTCAATCAATTCCAGGGGCATTTTGGACTATCCCGTGGATCTCTTACATCCTCGCAGGCATGAAAGGCCCTAATTATTGACAAGGGGGTTCATGAATCAGCTTCACCCGACAACTGAGCAAATAGCAACCATGGTGAAAAACTTTCCCATGGTTCGATTGCTAAGTGAGTCAGCTAAAAGTGACTACTTGAAATCCATTTATTCTGACGTCAAGTGACATTGCATGCCCTGCCATTAACATTCCCCAGCTGTTCCTTCACCCTCATCATTCCAAATTCTCGCAAAGTCCTAACAGCACGCCTTGTTCTGGCAAAAAGCCAATTTTGTAAACCGTTTTGCAGTCCATCAACGCTGACTCTGCCCGACCGTTTATCCCTGGTGTCGACACATTTATCACGCTTTATATTGATGTAATTACAGTCTTAGGTAGAGTAATGAAAATATCAATCTTTAAAGCCTCGGAACATACTACACCGTTAAAATCTACCAGCAGTCACATTTTGACAAAAATATCTTTGCCTCGATTTAAACGAACAAAAGGCACGTGTCATTTAAGTGAATGCAAATTCACAAATAATGATAGCAAAAAGACATGAATAATTCTGAATAGATTGGGTGACTGTGTTGTGAAATAATATAGGCAAAATAATGATACTCATATAAATGAGCCATAAAATGTGGACATGTGTGTGTTTTTACGCTATTTTGATCTATTACTCATATGTTATATTTCCGAAATTCCTAAGGATTGGTCTAAGAATGCAAGTAGGTTTGAAAAGCTCAAATAGCGCATTCAGCTTCTTAAGGTTCTCGCTGACTAAAACTTTTGCCAGAACACTGTAACTTCCGCTTGCGAGATTTATTAAGTGGATTGAGATGGTTAGTTAAACAACCAAGTAATCGTCACACAGCGTCACTTTGTAAGCATTATACTTATCCTATTAATTTTAATCGTAAATAATTATTGATGATTGCACATCATGTTTGTTTATCATCGGAAAACGCAGGTTGTTGTGGGATAAAAGTATTGAAATGCTGGACGCGGTTTATGAACATAATCTTCGCGACGCATCTTTCTATAGGAGACCAGATAAGCCCCACATCCTGTAAGTCATTTTTCTCCCAGAACTCAACCTAACTGCGCAATTACTTGCGTGTTACCACGCCTGGTTGAAATATTGTTTAGTGATAATTTATGATTTCCAGGGAATGAGCTTCTGACGGACATGTTTAACTTGCAAATTGGGAACTAGAAACCATCAAAGCGTTTTAATTGACTTGAAAAAAAACGCTTGATTGACGTTGCTGATGTTTTTTTCCAATGGTAAAATCGAAATTGCTGTCCAGTTTATTTGCAGTTGCTAAAGTGATGTTTCTGACAACGTTACTGTGTAAGTAATAATAAAATAACAATACTGATGTGACTTTATAAGGCAAAAACGTGAATGCATCAGCCTGGCTTTGAAGTGAAAAAAACCGTATTGTAGCTAGGGTGATAAGTTCGTTCGTGTGAAACATCACACAAGAATGTACACGTTTGAGCATGAATTTGAAACCACGAAAAAAGTCAGGATTGTTTTGCGGCATGCAAATGTCTGAAGTGCGTATGTCAGTTAACACAATTTTGGCGTTTCCAGTTTGCTGTAAAGACCAGAAATTTAAGGGTTTTTGATAGGACAGCTCTGTGATTTTGTTCGTCAGATCCAATTAAAGATCCAAAAAGGGAAACTACCTAGGGATATTATGGCATCAGCCTGGCTTTGAAGTGAAAAAAACTGTATTGTAGCTAGAGTGATAAGTTCGTGTGAAACATCACACAAGAATGTACACGTTTGAGCATGAATTTGTGTTGGGGATCCACGATTCCCCAAGATTGGTTTCTGATTTTATTTACATTAATTTACTAACATTTGTTTTGTTACGCTATTATCAAGTCAAGGTCAACCTTGACTTGAGATAGCTTTCAAATTACTTTCGATTTCACTTCTTCTCTGCACGTGGCTCACGTGAATACGGCTCTCTGCACGAGCTCTGGTCTTGTTCTGGTATTAGCCTAGGAAGGTCGGTTCTAGCTTTCAGCAAGGGATCTGGTACCGTTATTTGAGTGGTATTCTCTATTGTTACGGGCAAACGTAACAATTTGAAACCACGAAAAAAGTCAGGATTGTTTTGCGGCATGCAAATGTCTGGGATGCGTTTGTCAGTTTACACAATTTTGGCGTTTCCAGTTTGCAGTAAAGTCCAGAAACTTAAGGGTTTTGGATAGGACAGTTCCGAGATTTAGTTCCTAAGATCCAATTAAAGATCCAAAAAAGGGAAACTACCTAGGGATATTATGGCTTTTTTATTAAACCAGAAAAAAACATTACTCGCATGGTGAATTTCACCATAAAATTGTGTCGAGGTGTGTACTGTCGAAAGCAATTATGCGTATTTTAATTGACCTAGATGTAATCATAGTTGCTGGCATTATGCATAGTCTAAGTAAAGTAACATATTAACCAAGTTAAATGCATAAAACCAGACCATAAACATAGGCAATACATCAGATAGCAAATCTACAGAGTGAGCTCACCAAGTCATCTATGGAAAAGACACATAGTCAAGTGAGTTATCTGCGTCAATTTGCTCTAATGACCATAGGGTTTGACACAATTTAAAGTTAGATGGAAAATGTAATTCATTTTACGGAATATGACAGAACTTTTCAATGTAATTACTATGAGCCAGTGCTTGTTGACAGACTGAACAAGAGGTTACGTAGACGTTGTAAATGCTGAGTGTTTCGACAATCTGTTGGTGACCAGTAACCTAGAAAACACACGATTCTTGTCGAAGATGGGATTTTAAGCAAGAATCACTGCCATGCAATATCTCATAACTGTTAACAAACAATATGGTGCAGATGCTATAAAATCTTTATTTTACTATCGTCCAAGTGGGCTTTTAAAGCAGAACAGCGCAATTTGTAGAGGTAAAATGGTTAAGACCTAATTTTTTTATCAGTTATTCTGAATATATAGATAATAAACCAGGGTATTTTTTACCACCACGCCTAATATCGGACCACTTATGTGTTAATAAATGGAGCAGACTGGAATTTCAGAAGTGAGATTGTTTAACTAGGCAAATCTTTTTTGTGAGAATTTATTATGTTGATTTTTAGCTACTCAGGATGAAGGACGTGGCCGCAAATTATTCTTTCACGCATATGTTGCAATAAATTTGCGAGGCACAAAACTGCTAACCAGAGTATCGCCCTCCGTTTTCGATTTTAACGATTATTATAAGGTTTAAAGCAACATTAAGCTTTGTCAAAATACATTAAACATGCACCCAATATGAACGGAAATCAAGGTGAACTCAAGTGGCTTTATTAATTATGGCATTAGATGTGAATATTTTATCCTGGCCCTTTTCGGACTGTTGTGAAGTATAAAACAGTTCTAAAGAACAATGAGATACAGCTTACTTTTACCTTTTTTTAATTGGTGTCCCCATCATAAATATTGGTTAGTGTGTAAAGTGGTGGTTTTTGGACTCACATCATTATCCAGGCAGACGCATTTCTTTTAAAACATACACCGCAAGCATAAATTAGCCCAAGTGACTGACGTCAGGCATAGACCAAATTGCAAAGTAAAACTGTATTCTGTGTGAAAGAGAGGACATGAAAGGTGGAACCAAATGTAGTAGAATTTACTTACGGTTAGTCAAACATAGATGAATGCTCATTGACGAAAGAATCACAATTTCAAAACCAATTTTACCCTCTACATTTATGGCCTATAATTTTACTTAAATAAAGCGGGGCTAAATTTGTTAGCAAGGATGACTGGTGGATTTGAGACCAAATTGTGTACTCAAATTTACGTTTACCGGATCATGCTTCCAATGGTTATCCCAAATTAGTTGATAAGTAGCTTACTAAGAATTGTGGATGTGCCGTTTCGTGTGTACGGAGCTTACTGCATCCGGAAGGTACCATCATGAGATCTCTTATAAGTCGGAGTGTTCGGTACCCTGAATCCAACGCCCGGGGGTAAAGGCGGAAGATTAGGGTCTCCGTTCACGGGGTAAGCATCTCCATTTCCCAATGAGGACTTCTGGCGAGGAATCATGTTCAGGTAATCAGGTATCGATGAGCGGTATCCACGATCGTATTCCCGCGCATACACGCCCCCTCGGGGGTGGGAGTATCCCAAGGTCTGGTAGGGCGGACGGAATGAATACTGGCTGCGCGTTTCACTCAGCAGATTGGAACAGGAATCTTGCGAAGGCGTGCCGTAAGCCCAAGTCCCTCCATTACTCAGGGAGTTTCTGTGTAATTCTTCACACGAAGCGGTACCACACACAATATGCTTCAATGAAGCTGGAGAATATCGGTGTTGTAAAGCGAGCTGTCGTTCCATTTTCTCCTTCTTCGTCCTGAGGCGTCTTCGAATTATCATAAACGCAACCAAGCAAATCAATAGCACAGTCAGTACAGTGCACCAGATGACCACAGACAACATCAAGGGTTTCATACGTCCACTTCCAGTTGTCAATTTTACCAGGCCTCCGGTGGTCACAATTGTGGGCTCTTCCACCGTGATATTCCATCCAGTCATTGCACTTGCGTTGACTATAAACTCATTGTCGGAACCATTTTTGGGACATCCGAGGCCACCGCTCAAGGTGGGACAGCTATCCATGTAGAAAATGGTGAGAGCATCGATTTTACCACCAGAATTGGGAGAGTCTTGTAAAGGGAATGTGAGTATGACGAGGTCTTGAAGGGGTTCATCGTTGGCACATTTGTGGCACCTAGCCTCTATGTTTACTTCTATCGGCATTGTAGGATCTTCTGGTCGTAAACGCAGGAACGCAGGAACGTCTTTTTTCTCCTTGACGTCATCTGGTAATTTAGGCACGCGATCCCCGTCAAATATGAGAGAGCCAAATCGTCGATGATTTAAAAAAGTGTTTGGATGGAGGGTTGTTACATGGAGGACCTGTAGGTTAATTAGTAAATTTTCTAGTCCAGCAAATGACGTCACGGTCAGTTCAAGTATGTTCATATTCAGGAAGATATTCAAGGTTCCCTCTGAACCAAATTTACTAAGCTCTTTCAACCCCGAAGGGAAAACTCGTCGAATGCTGCTGCGATTCCCGATGACAAATCTGTCATTCAGCGAGTCCCTGTGGCAGACAACTGTTGATTTAAAAAATTCGTTCGAAACCGTTGTACAAAGAAGCTCTTTCTCAGAGGAAAGAGAGCAAGTGAATGGACAAACCTCGAAGTTGCTCGAGTTGAACTTTACCGCTTCTAACACAGGGGCCAGGAGACAGAACAGGCACAAAAAGGGCCCCATTTGGACTGCCACTAGCCTTTAGGCCGTGAACAACACAGCTCAACACCTAAGGCAAGGTTGGTTTTCAGAATATTAACGCCAAGGACTCCAAATCAGCTGTGCATGTACCCGAGGCATCCTGATTGGTCAGTTTGATCTAAGCGGCATGTGATTGGTAGTCGGGGAAGCCTATGAACGCTAAGTAAATGTAGCTTCATACAAGACATCAACGGTGCTGGAGGTGACTTATTTCGTGACACATTCCACTGATGTGACTTATGGACTGTAAACAAAGTGCTCCGCATGCCACAGCACATTCCAGTGAGGGATCCGAGAAATCAAGATGTAGGAATGCGCCAGCAGATCTGCGCCTAAATTAGGAGGGAAACTAAAATTTGGGTTTACGTGGGAAAGAATAAAATGTAGTGATTTGTGAGTCTTTGCTGCCTTAATAAAATACATTTTAACTTTCAAAAGATGCTATATAAGGCTACGAAATGCCCTGTGAAAATTACCGCCTTCTTATGCAAGTTTAGTGGATAGAACCGTTTGAAAACGCTTTAACGCACCAATTACTCATCGAATTAGATAAAGTGCTAAAATAAAGCTGTATGTATGCAAATCACTTTTTTGTCTAAACTTAAAATGAGTAGGATACACGTTCCGTGGCTTGCAAAATAAAACTTTGGCTTGCATGGCTTAGTAGTTTCTCGCAGTCATGTATATTTTTTTTATTTTATGAGATGAACCTCACGACTTATATCTGAACAACTCTGCATACACTGAATTTTTCAATCAAAGTGAAGAGAAATGTACCAAATTGGCATAGAGTTCGCTATGCAAATTTTCAACTTGTACTTTTCTTAGTAGTCGATGGCATTGCTTTCGTGGTGGATTTTTCTAACGTTAAATCAATTGTTCAAACTGTAAGATCAAACATATATGTTAATTTTAAAATAACAATTTAAAATAGAACTAGCTTTTTATTCTATGATGTCCAATTTTGCATAGAAGTTTACTGAGAGAACCATTTACTTCTCACAAGAAAAACATTTATTGGAATTGCCTATCAAATATAACTACCGATTTCCTCCATTAAATAAAACCTTGCAAAATGGTGCGAAAATCCTGTTAGATGTAATTTCTCAGCGACAACAAATCAAATTAACGTCATCCGGGTATCTCATGATTACAATATGTCCCATTCAGCCCCGTTTGGTTTGCGCAGCATCCCATACCTATAGTCATGTATCCAGGTTAGCTAAAAACAATAGTATTTCTCTAACATTGGACCTGTTTTCCCTGCTAAGTTTGTGAAGGTGCGAGACCAAAAGGTGGTATTTTTTTCTGATCATTGTTCTGAGTTTTGATTATATTGTCGCTTGATTACTTCCCTCGCTTTTCCTAATAATAATGCGCAGAAATTTGTGACTAGTTACGAAGCAAAATCTTGATGAGTGCCGGAGAGATTTACAATTTTTGACACGAGGCTGATGCAAATTTTACGTCAAGATAGCCACTGAAGCTTCCGAACACCAAAGCGTTTCTTAAACAATGATTTGTAACAAAGTAGTCCATTGAGTGGATGCATGACTGCGAAGTAGACCTCAATCCAGATGGCACAAAAGTTTTACCAGTAGAAAGAATTTTTATTTTCTGTTCGTTGACTCGCACTAATTTGAATGCAAGAAAAACACGAACATTGGCCTTGGCCTAACGTAAGTTGTCGTGTGGTTATTCGGTTTATCCCTTTGACGTTTAGAGCCGGTGAGCATCTTTTAGAATTGCAGGTATCGAAGCACAAATGTTCTATGAAGATTTTCGAACTTTTGTCTAAATCTGAATTTCAAACAGGTGATATAACCTACTGGGTACCTGTGATAATCTGTCACTTTAAATAACCGAACATGTGATATGCTTGATATCCCTCATTTGTCAGCCTCATTAGCTGAGTGCTTACAAGTTAGCGCCAAACAACTTCGAACGTATTGTTACGGGTACAAAGTAACAAATTAAAAAGAACTCTATTTTGGTGCTTAACTTGGTATCACTAAACTCACAGCTATCCTCAATGGTAATTTCAATGCATTAAGGTTAGACAAATTATTGTCCTCTTAAATTTATATTCTTTATATCTCGAATTAAGACATATGCTTTTTAATTCAGCTTATCTCTACGCTTCAGCATCTTTATGAGTATAATTTAAAAAGATGGTACTTTAAAATACTTGAGTGAGAGGGGCTATCAAATTTAAATTTTAGTATGACTCATTACCTTGCGGTACATGGTGTAGCAACCAGCCAGCCAATAACAGAAATATCACAATTTGTGGACTGCAGCAAACGGAATACAGGCTCTCTGTCAACAAGTCTTATGGCCTTTTTCTTCAACCACTTATCAGAGTCCAGTTTTTAATGGCCTCGTCACTTTTGGCTGACATGTAGAAATGTATGCTTTTGTTAATTACTTGGACTAGGCTACCCAAAATGCCACTATTTCTTCAGCGCTTTGTGTTCACAGAAAGTGGTAGAAATGAATTATCTTGGAATTTGTATCAGTTCTAAAATAAACTTCAAAGATCATGTTGACTGCTTATTAAATTAACTGAAACTCATAATAATTCAACGTAACTGTCCAAAAAAACTGGTCTAATTAAGTTGTTGCCAACACATTATTCAAGCAGGCTATTGAGTATGAGTAAATACAAAGCTTGGCATAGTGTAACCAGTCATGTAGATCAGAGGAAAATCAATAAATTTGCAAAAATCAGAATTATTTTTCAGGGGCTTTTTCCCAAATTTTAATAATTTTAGCAAGAGCTCCGTAGAATATAAGAAAATTAAACGCACAATATTTTTATGGATTTCGAGGATAGATCTATCCTAGACGTTTTGGCTTCCATGAGGTTTATCTTCATTCTTTTTTAAATAACCTATTTATTTCAAGGGCTTTAAATAATATAACTTATAAGTCAATATATTTACACACATTTATTGCACTAATATTTTCAGCGGCCTTGGCTGAATAAAAAGTCAATGCCATAGCCCAACTAATCATTTACTTTCCAATGATTGCCAGTACAACTGTATAACTTTATAATCTAACTTTGTTCTGAACTCAAATTGCCTCCTTTTCTATACATTACATCGAAATTTACTTTTCCCTTAACCACGGACCTTACCTACAAATTAATCATCCGATTTGGCGAAATACTTTAACTTCTGTTTATATATTTTATTTGGATCAATTTATTTCAGACCACACTTTTACTCATTTGGAAACAATTTAGGGCCATCCTTCATAAGGTAATGGATGAATATGAGAATCGTAGTCTTAGGTATAGATCCTTACAATAGGATATAGGGGCAGTAACCATGCCTATGAAGTGGAGTGAAGTTCTTTTAAGTGAAAGAATTAATAAACCAAGCGTATAAATCTTTTTCAAAAAAAACGTTTTTGTGCCTGGACTTACTGGCCATAGTGATGTATTAATTTATTTTCAATAGGAAATAATCTAAAGTTTGCAAAAATTTTGTCTGGAAATGCTTGATTTTCCAATCGTCTAAAAGTCAGTTATCTTTCTCTCAAATTCTATACACTGAATTTTCGTTTAACTCCAATATCAGGCATGAAAAAATGTTGTCCTGTGAGATTGTGCGTTTCCCTAAATTAATTCTGCTTCGCGACATCGTATGGATAGTTGTGCTCAATGTTGTGCGCAACTCACACCCTGCCTTCAGGTGTAATAATTAACGAATATAAACATGTTCAATCAGGTTTGATATCTAAAATTCCAGTGACAAGACTTGCGACTGACGGTGATTATGATTCCAGATAACCAAAACACGTTTTTTTTATTTTTCGTAGCGGTTCAAGTTAGTAAATTGCGCACAAATTGGGTTGCCTTACTTTAGTGGTCCTATAAAAAGGCATGGCTAATTAGGGTATGCATGAAGTATAATCATAAATTCGTGTACAGTTACGAGATAAATCAATAAAGGATTTGGGCTTTTGTAATACTTTGGCACTTGAAAAGCGTCAGCAAGCAACTTCTATTAAAGTTAAAAAAAACTATCATTTTACTGTATTTTATAAAACTACATAGAGTAAAGACTCATTTCCTTTCGGGGCTATTTATATCTTTCTTCGGTGTTTTTTATTGATATCTCTGGGGCTATAGAGTTCCTTAATCGCGGTTTACAGGATCTATAAAATCAATTCCGTGATTTGATTGACGTTCCCAACTTAATTAATATAAACGTCACAGTTAATTAAATTGTTTCCTGTCACCAATTGGTAAATAAAGCAGCAAATGTTTTCCGGAAAATTGTTGCTCAGTGGTTAAATTTTGCCCGAAGAAAGCATACATTCGGAATACCGGTTGTTTTGTTGCAATGTTTAGATGTATAACAGTTTGAAAAAAATGGAAGCAGCCAGACCTATTAAGGTGCTTTAATTCTGAAAGTTTTTCATGATGTTGTCATTTTCATGGAAGAAAGGACAGACACATCCGCAATTGACAGCTCGCCTTGCAAATGTATTGGCGTAGGCTCTGTCTAGTGAACAAGTTCTATCAAGTTCCGCCGTCAGCGCGGATTGTGTATAGGTGTGGCGGAATGTCCTAATCAGTATGCAGCATTTTTATTTTTAAAAAATCAAGTGCACTGTTTAAACTCTGCTGTGATCAATACCCTTAAATCTTTTTTAAAGAGTAAAATCTGTGTTTTTAAAACTTGAAAATCACGAAACGGTGTGAATCTACAATTGATAGATATCAGTTGGTCAAAAGTGGCGTCTAGCGATTGAATAAAAGTAATTTAAATGTACAAAATTAAGCCCTGTAGTTTCAGTGTCAAACTCTTTCATTATGGAAAAAAAGCGGATTAAACTGTGACTTATTTAGACACACTTTCCACCAAGTTAATCTTGTTTAATAAAATCTAGAGTCGACATGAGTTGTGTTCATTTTAATGTTCCCGTAAATTGAGATATTGTTCGCCTTGGACTATGGACATACAAAC